TACTTTATATCATATGAAATTCTAGATATTGTTACTGTTCTTCAATATATATATATGTACAATATATATATATTGACAAAAGCGAATATATTTTTGGTACTTGTGACTATAATTGTATAATAAAATAATTATGGCTAAAAGTTCCACTTTTATTACACTTATTACCGGCTATAATGTTAGCAATAATAATAATAATAATTTTTACAATTCTATATACCAAAAAATGTATATATAAGTGACATAAAAAATAACTATTATAACAGTAATAACCATAAAAATGGGGTTCTTAACCATAATTATTTTTTAATCATATATATAATTATAGTACAGATACCAAACACTTTTCTCTCAGTGTACAATCCAAAAGAATTAACAACGATGTATAATCTGTGTATTTATTTGTCTGTAGGCACTTTCTCACGGCGCTTCGAGCGCAAACTACATGACGGATGAAGTCTCTAGAATATCCAATGAAGTCAGCGTGCAAACTAAGGCAGAGGTATGAACACGCGGATGGATTATGGACGATTGCGATTCGTGGTCCGCGTGCGGCCCTTCCCCCTCCCCCCCCCTCCCCCACACGAGCGAGTGAGATTTAGGCGCGTGCGAGCTGGATTTATGACCCCCATTATGACGTTGACGTATCGCCTTCGTGAGGGTGGCCTAAAGCAAACCCAAGGCGAATCTAAGCCCCGTGTATCTAAGCCAACGGCTAGCCACAGGTCACTACGACCACGAGAATACTACGAACTAATCCTGCGGCTCACCATATCTGCGATAGCTTTAATTAACAATAAGTTTCGTTCTTGCAACATATACGGTTCGTATAATACTTTTTCTTATTATTATCTTATTTTTCTTTCGTCCTACAAAGAGTACATTAACAACTACATCGAAAAAGATATAAATACACAAAAAGAAATTATTATAATTATAATAATTTTGCAAAAGTATTCAAATATAGTTAGATACAAACGAGTATCTACAGTTTAGTTAGATAAGATATGTGAAAATAATTTGCTTAAACCATCAAAAGAACTATGTTAGATGCTCAAGTTAGCTTACTAGAACGTCACTAGAACCTTTTTACACGCAAAAAAATATTTCGCTACTCCACCTAGGATTATCGCTGTTTTTTTTTTCCAATAGAAAATAATGTATCATACATAATTTGAGTTAGAATTTATAGCACAAATCTAAATTCTATCTCTGTTATCTATATGATTAGATGCAATACATATCGCAATACTTGCTAAAAATTTATCTACTTTAACTAATTTGTCGTACTTACATTAGATAATTTTCACTATAATTGCAACATCACTTATTTTATTGTAGTATAAAACATTATGCTTAAATGTTATACATAATTATTTTCAACCAAATAATTTTCAGATGTGTATCTGGCTAAATTTTTAGATACTTCAGCAAAACCGTTCCTTTTGCGTAATAGATATTTAATGTAAATTTGTTTCTTCTGTTAATGATTCAATATTTCAAATATATTCGATAATAGTATCAAGGCTGTGTTTCAAATTTACTGCCAGCACTGAAAATGCTACAGTTTACGTAACGTGCACTATAGATTTTTCAGTACTGGCAGTCAATTTTTGAACACACCCCAAGAAAAGAACATTTCATATTTCACGTTAGGGATGAGGGAGCCATTCGAACAAAACAGCAAACACATCCGAAAGTCAAGAACACCGAATTAACGGACACCGCACTGTCGCCAAGTTGGACAAGCGACGTAATCGCGACGCACCACGAAAATTATTGGCATCTTCCGTTCCATAATGGTTGTCTAGCGCCGCAATAAAGCGACAGGGGCAGGAAACCGGGGAGACAGTGGCGCATTGACGATTTAAAGGGCGTGCGAACTCGCTTTTACGCGTCGGATGCGAAACCCCGCGATTCAATTTATATCCTCTGACCGCGCGCTTCCTGTCTGCGACGCACACAATCTTTCGAGATTGCACCACTTCGTCCACTTCCGGGGGATTTCGCTCTTTCCCCGTCTATCCTCCTACCCCTCTATGAAATACGACAATGATTCTATCGGCAGCGAGCGTCGCGACGATTCTCGAGGAGGGTGGAAGGGTGACGCAAATAAATCGCGTTGCAAAATCGACCGGGCGGCATGTTATAGTGGTCGACGTTACGCATCGGCGAGTGTCAAAACACCGTGGAGGAGCTGCAGCTACGATGCATTAAAGGGAATCGAGTTAATGGACAAACGAGATCGTGAAACGGGGATCGGCCATTCGCGAAGGAATTGTCAAAATACGTGTGTGAAAGTAAATCGAATATTGTAAGCGAAATCCCGACGAGAGTAAAATAGCAGATATCACACATCGATATTACAAACACCTCATTTCTTAACCCTTTGCTGCACGATGTTGCATATATGCAACATCTTTCTCTCTTTCGTTTTTTGGTTCTCAAACTCTACTCTTAAGGTTTCTGCACATGCAATAAATTGTTATATGATCCTCAGATACTACTTTAATAACAAGTTACGTACAGAAGCTTTTATTTTGCAACTTGAATTGGTTATAAACAAATTGAGCGTAAAAAATCCTACTTTAAGAAAAAAATCGTTCCTGAAAAATTGTGATTTATTAATCACAATTTTTCAGGAACGATTTTTTGGGATCGATGATTACAATTTTGGGATAAAATTCCCGAAATAAGTTACCCACTCGGTCATATAATTACTGAAATGTTGCAAGTTTCGGTTATGGTAAGAGCGAGAAGGATATTGCAGCCAAAAAGGCCTCTATATATTGATTTTCGAGGTAAATAAAACATTTTTCAAATTTTAGTCCACCATATTCAATCCGCTATATTTTGCAAAACTGACTCCAGATTTGTAATCGACGATCCAAAAAACCCTTAGATACGAAGTTTCAAAAAATTTGACTGCAACGAATAATTCGTGGGTATAATCAAAGGGTTTAGATCGTTTCTTGAGAAATAAAAATTCGACAAAACTCCATTCTCTCTCTCTCTCTCTGGCATAACGTAATGTATCTGTATTGTAACTTCACTCGATATCGCAAGTCGATTCCTTCTGCTTCAAGCGAGATCGAGGTCTTGAATGCACGGTCAGGGGATCGTACAGAGCTTTACATCGCCGCGTATATGTAACTATAAGAGTCGAGAGACAAACGGCAGCGGCGGCAGCGGTTATCTACCGAGGTTGAGAAAAGGGGCGAGGGAGGGAGGGGGAGGGGGAGGGAGAGAGAGAGAGAGAGAGAAAGAGAAACAAGGAGAAAAGGAAATATATAGGTAAATTCCGATAACGGAGGCTCCTCTGCGAAAAGGAGGAGCAGCAGAACGATGGAGGAAAGGGAGGCGGAAAGAAGAGAAGAGGCCGTAAGAACGTAGCTCGAGTAAGAAAGATGAGACGAAAACATCGATTGCAGGGGCTTGTAACACCGCGGTACGAACAGAGGGATCAAGCCGAGCGATAAACCAAGCAGCCTGGAAAATGCCGGATCAACGGTACGATGTTTCAGCAAAAACTGTCTGGAATCGGAACAGCCCCGGCTCAAAGAGAGAGAGAGAGAGAGAGAGAGAGAGGATGGACGGGAGGGAGGAAAAAGCACTCGCCAGGGTGGGATCGAAAACGAGCGCTGGAATTGCGGGGGCTCTCTCTCGTGGTTTCCTGGTCTACGATTCCACCCTCCTCCAACCCTCGTACTTCGGCGAACGCTTTACCGCGATATATACACGTGAGTACATATATGAATTTTACGTTATGCACCACGTTATACCGTCGTCCTGTAGACGCGCACCAAGCCCCGACGGATTTATGAGGGAAGTAACACGAATTAAACTAACGTCTGCGCGCGCCGACGATGCGACGTACCGTAAAACGCCGATCTCGCCATGAAATCGAAAATGAGGGTAATTCCCCGTGATAAAATATAACGAAGTCGCACACGAATGTATAACGGCCGCACTGGTACGCGCGTTGATATCAAGATAAATTCCACGTTAACTAATTACCCGCCCGTATACTCTATATTTAATATTAATTAAGTTGCACTGTTGCGTTAAATGAGAGACAAGTTTTCATCGTATAAAAACAGATGCTCGATATTGGGTCTTATAGAAATAAACTGCTCGAATAGAAATGGCGAATCTCTAAAAATATATATCCATATCCATAAACAATGGCGCGTAAATATAATTATTATTGACTTTTTTAAAATTAAGAAATGTAAATAAAAAATAACCTTTTAATTATCCCGTTTCATTTTATTTCAATTTTTCCTCTTTTTACTGCATTATCTTCATAAAAGATATACGAGTATATATAACGTAGTGTAAATGTGTGCGAATATCTACAGAGTATATTGAACTCGAGAAGATTCGCTAAAACTAAACGATTATTCGTCATCATTACGAGGAATCATCAAAATGATAAATGAATATAGGAGATTGCCATCTGTACAAGAATACGTAAAACTTATCACACACGCGAGATTACAATGACTCTGTAGATAACTTATCGAATGACGGTTGATTGTGATAAACTTTTGTGATATATATATAAATTACTTGATCAATCTAATAATTTTTAACCCGATCTCTGACTTGGCCTCGCACTTAACGTGGAAAATGAAATAAGTCTGCTGTCTATTATCAGCTATTCTATTGATTAATTATCTTTATCAACCGAAGGAGGAGGCGGCAGAAGTCATCGCATACCGTTGGGAGATGGCTTTAGAGAACGATCTCAAAGAGTGGCTTCAGATAAAGAAAGTGATGAACCCAAGTTACCGATCAGAACATCAATATAACCGCGGGATATCCGCTAGAAGCGTGGTGAAACATCAAAACAGCTGTACATTTGGTCGCCTAATTGAGTGGCACGCGTGAATCCCGGTTCGACGGAACGAACAACTCAGTAGTTTGATTATGTAGTGCGTCGAACATGAAGACGATAGAGGGAAAAGTAGTAATGCTGGGTTCGCAAGGTAAGCGTTCATCGGTAAACGAGGCGATAAAACTGCCTAATTATCGTTATGTAATGCCAACGAAAGGACTGCGATGCAGCGAATCGCGGAACGGCGAGGACGCGTGACGACGATCGCATACCTCGGGAATCGATCATCGCGTCATTGTTCCCTGGTGCTTCCTTTCCAGAGAGGTTAGGTGAACGTTACCCATGAACACAGATGTATCACAATCTGTATCTAGTAATACACGCTGCTTACGTGCGTGACTAGAAATGTGTCGCAACTTCTGATACATACCCACTCGATCGCGTCGCGTGAGAATAAAGTCCGCTTATTGTTAGATTCGAAAAAAAAAAAAAAAAAAGAAAAAAGATTTTATATATAGTATATTGTGATAATTTTAACTAATAAAATTAATTTGTTTACGTGTAAATATTTGCACTTCAATTTATATACGATAATTTCTGTATTTGCAGAAATAACAATTGTAAAAATTGCAAACGTGTCAATTTGCTTCCTAGATTTTTCTCGAAGCATTGATTTTGCGATCGTTATCTCTATTATTGTTCTAGTTTTATGTTTGATACGGAAATAAATAATTATTTGTTTGTTAACAAACATATTCCGGATTTCTTGGCCATCTGTCTTCTATCGAAAAATTTGTTGTCGGTTTCTTTTTTTTTCGGAGATTGTATAAAGCGGTCTTTTAAATTCCGAACTTATTATCTTTGTTTGGTGAAGGTGATAATATTTATATTCGCGTTAATAAAGCATATTCGAATCTGGAGGTCAAAATCCGAGCATGACACATTTCTCGAGACAACGCACGCAGAGATAATAGAGAAATGGAATTCCGTATTAAGTATATACATATATCTTCTTTATCGTAATCATTTCATAAATACATGTACGTACTTTCGGCTAACGTAACGATAAAAAGTGTAGTAATTATAATATATGAATGAAAAAAATATAGCAACAATATGAAACTCTTAATTGTTAAGGTGAAAATTATACAGGTGTGCAGTTAATTTGTACAAATTTTTATTCCCTCCCGAAAATTTCATATGCTACGATCAAATATTAAAAAAAATTAAAATGTTAAATAAATAAAATTATACGTGGATTATATATAATTATAAAACACTTTAATAAAGTCGTGCTGGAAAATAATCGAAAATCAAAATTGATTAAAATAAAAAATTCTTGTATGGGAAATCTTAATTAATTTTTAAATAACAGCTATATCTTAATGTTAATCAATATCGCGTAAAGTTCATACGTTCAAGTCTGTTAATTGCGTGTATCGATGTCATTTGTCATTCATTTTCGCACCACGATGATATTCATTTTTATCATTTGACTAATTCTTTTTTAATTTTTAACACACAGATAGTATATATAACAATTAGTTTAGATACTGTATAACGAGTTAATTACAAACAGAAATTTTGATTGTCGTATACAAATGTTCTGCTTCGTATTTTAATACACAATAATTACATGCATATTATAATACTATAAAAATTTTATTGATGTATAATACTTTGTAATATTCATCTATAATATTCTTAATTTAAATTTTTAACATATATATCCTATTATAATTATAAATTTCAGATCTATTGCCTCAATTAAAATAAAAGATAATCTGACTCACCGATACGACGCGCAGCAGCGGAATTATGATTGCATCATAGCTGCATTGATCTGTAAAATACAAATATATCTAAATATATATATCCAAGTCACAGCAGTATCCACAAAATAAATAATTAATTATTAACACTGCAAAATATAATTATCGCATGCAATAAATTTGCTTTAAATTTTTTATTGGTCTTTTTTCAAGCGGAGATATTTAAGTTAATTGAATTTTCGATGAATAATAAGTAATAAGTAAATAATAAACTACTTATGTGCTTACGCCATAATTGCTCCGCTGTTACCCGATGCCTCCCAGACCTCCTCCTCCTCTTCTTCTTTGGTTACTGTTCATTTGCACTCACATAACACTCACTCGGAGAAATATAATTAAATACGGTTGCGCGGCACTTTGCAAGGCACATCAGGTATTAATTCGCTGCACATTTTATAAAATTACGACGAAAAAATAACGCGAAAGAAGCACGATCTCGCGAAGCTACGCTCAATAACGAATCATAAATTGACGAATAAGTTAGATCTGTCTGTCAATTCGACGAACGATTCTGTTCTGTTAATGACTGATACTTTAAAAATGACTTTGGCAATTTTATGCCAATAGCTGCGATGTGGTATAATTAACAAAGTCTAGCTAATTATAAGATGTTTAAAAACATACAGAGAAAGAACGGTTTTGTAAAGTATCTAAAAATTTAGCTAGACACATCTAAAAATAATTTTGTCAGACCAAAATAATTATATAGAACGCTTAAGTTTTAATAACAATGTTGCAAAACGCTTTAACATTCTAATAATCAACTTGAGTGTCTTATATAATTATTTTGATAGTCGAAACAAAATTATTTTCAGATCTGTATCCAGCTAAAGTTTTCAATTTTTCAGCAAAATCATTCTTTTCATGCACAGGTCCAGAAATATATATTTGAGAGTATCGAAATTCATTAAAGAATTAATTGATTGGTCATTCACGCTCGCGAGTACGCACAATTGCTTAATCTTTATTAATACGATGATCTTTATAATTTGTAAATGTATTGAGGTAACGATTATTAGCTATAGTGGACATTTTATGCGATTGATTTGTCGACTATTTTCGTAATATTGAAATTTTCCGTTTAAATATCGAGTAATAATAACAATCGTATTTCCATGTTTCTTATTGCTTCGGTCTTTACAAATCAATCGCATAAAATATCCGCATAAAATGTTTATGCTAATAATCGTTATATTTACAAATCATAAAGATCATCGTATTAATAAGCAATTGTGCGTACGCGAGCATGACCAATTAATTATTTAAAGGACTTGATCATATCTTTTGATACTTATCACGATCGTATTTCGAGAAATAACAATAGCAGGTTGTCTCGCCGTGTGAATGTCAACATGACCTTGCGTATGAACGCACACTTTATCGTGACGAACGGTGAGCATTGAACGTTGATAACCGTTAAACAATTTATCGCTATCACAAAATATATAACACAATATCAAATAAATAGGTTCCGAATCTTCTATTCATGTCGTATACGTTTCGTATTGGCGGTTATTAAATCGCTACGTGCCATGGGTTCCTTTCGAACTTCGTTGATCCAGCAATTGCATATTACTTCGCGAATTCGAAAATAGTCGACAAATCAATCGCATAAAATGTCCACTAACCTCAATACATTTACACATTATAAAGATCATCGTATTAATAAGCAATTGTGCGTATTCGAGCGTGAATGAAATTGAGACCAATCAATTAATTATTTAAAAGACTCATTGTATATTAGTAAAGCACGACGCATATCGATTCAAGAATTATTAAAGGGATATTTAATACACTTAGTAAATGTCGCGAAAAGGTAATTTACAAATCCTATCTCCCGTTTTGATTCCTATTTCCGACAAATGTCGCGCGAAGTATCCTATCTCGATAAATAATTATCGCCTCGAAATTCTTACGGAAATTAAGTTTAGTTACAGGGATAGATATTTGTATAGAATAATCATAGAGAACAATCGCGTTTTCTTTTAGAAATCGTCGCGTTTATCTTGTCTTGAGAGGATTTAATCCACGACGACATGCGGAACAGCTCGCGCCGCTGCCTGTTCGCTCGAACTTCGTCACACGAATAACCGGAAAGCGACCGCGTGCCACACGACGCATGGATACGACGCGTTTTACGTCACACAAAAACAATGCCGAACGTTAGAACGTGCGTGCCAGTCAATCGCTGCGTAAATATCGCTTCGTTTTTAAATATCTACAAGGTGTGTCAGAATTTGGAATGGAATTCTACTTATATTTTTATGTGTTGTGTGCACTATAAAAGATTTGAAGGATCAGAAATATATATAATATAAAATATATACTAAAATAGATATATAAAAATTCAGCGTAAAATTATAAAAATATAATGCTATTCTGAAATCTGACACTAAAGTGAAAATTATAAATTATATTATTTATAAAAAAAAAATTCACTTAATTGGTACAGTTCAGCTCGTAATGTCCTAAAATAAAAATAGACAATGGAAAAGCCAAAAATACGAACAAATTGATTGAAAAATTAATATCTTATTTTAATAAATTATTATAATTTTTTACCTTTGCTCGTCTTTTCGTTCTTTCTAGTATCTATTTCCAAATTCGCTTAATATTCTCACTCTTACATAATAGTTTTAATGTGTGATTAAATTATCATATATATTATATTTAGCGTTTATTTGAAGAAATATGATTATCTATTTAAAAATAAATAATAATTAAATATAAGCAATAATAAGTTCATCTATACCGTTATATGAATAAATCAAACAATTAAGGAAAAAGGCCTATGAATGATCGCGGCTAGATTTTAATGCCTAATAATATCTATATACTTACATATTTTACGTATGTATAAGAACTTTTTAGTTCTTTAAACTGTGCGCCAATTACTATTAGATTTTTGCAATGCAATCATAAATTAAAATAATCTCACAAATCAAATTAAACGTCAATTTTGATCGTAATGCTCATAATAAAACTTAATACTGTAAATAACTTATCGCGAAAAATATTATGCCAAATCCCGGCTGAGGTAATATTTTTCACGATAAGTTACTTACAGATATTAAGTTACTATTAACATCAAAATTGATATTGAATTTGATTTGAGATTATTTTAGTTTATGATGGTTTTGTGAGTTCGACAGTAATCGGCGTGCAGTTTAAAGAACTGGAAAGATTATGTAAAATATGTATAACGTATAAAAATATCATTAGGCAGATATTAATATCTATTTGCGACCGTTTATAGAGAGAGAGAGGCCTTTTTCTTCATTGTTTTAATTTTTAATTAAATATAATTGCATGAATGCAAGTGATTATGCAAAAATAAATTTATTTGCACTATATCGAACATAGATTTAATTCTAGATAATCTGAAATACTCGGTATTAGATAAAACAATCGATTTTTTTGTATGTAAAACGGTGTTCGATGAATGTTATCGAGTGTCAAAACTAATATTGAACAAGAATAATAATAATATCGTTTGAAAGTATAATTAAAGTATAATTTCGATACTATTTTCAGGTGTTGGTAAAACGAGCTTAATTGGACGTTACGTTGGAAATGTCGAACATGTAAGTCCTACAATAGGAGCATGTTTCTTCAGCTGCAATATCCATTTGGAAGATGTGAGGATAAAATTGCAAGTAGGATTTTAAAAAATTGTATTTTTTTACGCCTTTATATTAATATTCATTTATATATAGCAATTAATTTAAATTTAATAGATTAAGTATATATTGCTTCGATGCGAATTAAGATATGAGACTAACGTTTTTTTGTTTGTATTATCTTTTCTTGACTTCGATCCACTCTTTCCACTTTGATTGTCTCAATATCTTTACACTTTCAATGACGTAAAAAAAATGTACGTTTTATCTAGTAACAATACTGAATTTAGCAATGTTTAAAGAGAATTAAATATAAAGAATTAAAAAAGCCCTACTTTTATGTAGGTATGGGACACGGCTGGCCAAGAGAGATTTCGCTCCATGGCGCCGATGTACTACAGAACTTGCAACGCAGCTCTGCTAGTGTTCGATCTTACGCAGTACAAAACCTTTGACGCAATCAAGAATTGGGTGAAGGAGCTACAACAGAATGTGGAGGAGACGCTGGTGCTAGCTTTGATCGGCAACAAGTCTGATCTGGTGCAAAAGCGTGAAGTCGACAGTGAGGAGGGTCGGAGGTACGCCACAACAATTGGTGCTACATATCATGAGATTTCAGTGCTATTTAACGAAGGTGTAGAGACTGTTTTCCTGTCGATCGCTTTGGGTCTACAAAGAATGGCAGATAAAAACAATAAGAACACTACTCTTAAGATTTTCGACTCTAATACCTTTTTTAGAAACGAAAATGAAATACTGCTCTCGCCCTCCATCGAGGAGAGCCCGCAGAACACCAGTATTGCACACGGCATACACGAGAAGCCATTTACCTGTTGTTAGTTGTAATAGTTTATCAAAAAAGAAGAACGGCAATAATTAAGTAAAAATTGCGCCTCGCTTAGGAATTATCGTCAATTACCAAAGAGTTTACTAAACACTGAAATATGCCGCAGCTTGCAGGTTGTTTCGTTAGTAAGCCACACATTTTTGTCTCGTGACGCGCCTTCGTTTTTGAGATGCAAAATATACATACTGTACAAAACGCAAAGCAAATGAACCTCTGCTCTTCCAGTTTGGTATTAGTCAAATCTTTTTTATGACGCTCGCATAGATTTATTGCGAGAATTAAATTGATAATATCGATAATGGACATTATACAGGATGTAATTAAAATAAAGCGACAAACTTCTGAGACTCCCACACTAAGCAAGAAAAAAGTTCATACAAACGTATAAGCATGTAAATATATATTCGCAAATTTACTATTACTGAGATACAGTTCAAATAAATGTTATCAATGTTATCAAAACGAAAAAATAATAT